GTGAAAGAGGACAATTTACCCAATCCAATTATTCTCTTGTAACAATATAAACTCCAAGCAGAGTCCACAAAATGAAGCCTGTAACCACAAGTGGGGGAAAAAAAAAAGCAATTTAGGGCAAAAGGACAGAGAAATGAGCAGAGTCTAATTGTTTAGTTCAGGAGAGTACAATAGCGTTGTAAGGAAGGGGATGGAAATTCAGCACCTGAACACACACACACACACACACACACACACTCACACACACTCACACCCATTATGTCACCCTTCCTCAGCGAGAGCAACGCATCGGTCCAGAGCTTATCTCTGAGCATTTGGAAGCAGTTACCTCACTTTAATTTATTAAGTATGAAACTGTCTGCCGATGTGTCCCAGTGGAAGCCAAGTGGTGTCCACTGGGGGAGGAGGCGTCAAAGCCCACACTGAGTGTGGGTGGATGGCGGAGCCGCGGGAAACGCCCTGCGGTGGAGGTGACGACTGATGGGGACAGACGTGCAGCAAGTGAGAGGAGGTCTGGGCAGAGGCAGCTCCTCTCCCGAAGGCATGGGGGAGCGCGCACTCACACCGTCTCAGGTTCGCACCATCAGCTCAGAAGGGACTCAAGAAATTCAAAGTAAGCAACAGGACAAACTAGATGTGGGGGACAGGAGCGTGGGGAGCTGCCAAGAGTTCTACCCCACCTTTGAGGCCTTCAGTTCTGGGGATTTGGCCAAGGAGGCTTCATCTCCTCTTTTTGTCTGCACTCAATTGCCCATCCCAAGCTGAAAATGAGGAAGTTGTGTGATGGATTCAAGATTAATTCCATTTGCTCAAATCCAACATATCGAGTCACCACCAAGTGCCTTAATTCATTGACACATTTATTTTGAGAGCCTATTCAAATGGCAAGCGTTTTGCTCAAGCAAAGCCAGGCACAGCGCAGCACTCCAGGCCGATGTGACAGCCTTCGGCATGGAGGACAAGGCAGCAGGGTCCGGGAGGAACCGCCCCAGCCTGGCCAGCGCGGGTAGCCTGCAGGCCTTGCAGGAAGAAGACAACGAAGGGCCCAGACTCTATTCCATAGGCAATAAGGAGCCACAGATGAAATTTAAGCAAAAGAGAGGCACACCCAGATTGTGTTTTGAAAAGATAGTCATATTAGAAAGAGGAAGTGAGGAAAATAAACTCGGAAAAGGGGAGAGACTGACAGCACGTGGGTTTCTTTCCACCACATATAAACAACTCTTTCTGTTCTGATTAACAGCTCAGCCTAAAAAGCTAATATTAATAATAAACCCCTATGTAGTATTTAGTGTGCACAACTCACTTCATCTTCACAACAATCCTCTGTAAAATGGGAATTAATAATTCCTACTGGATTGTGTCACCGTAAAGATAAACGAACGCATGAAATCGTGTATAAAGGACGTAGCGCAGTGTCTGCCACATGGCACACTCTCAGGAATGGCCCCTGGCTAGCTTGCGTCAGCTCCAATACCTTCCTTCTCTGTCTTTTTGTAGCAACCTATTTTTTTGCAGGGCACCTACTCAAGTTATGTTCCTTCTTAACCACACACTTTTTTTTAGGGGAGTGGTAGGTAGCCCTTGGAGTGATTCTGACTCTTCCAGGGTCATTCAAGTCTAGAAGCCCAGAATTTCTGAAAGGCTGGTCACCAGGGAGCTATGGGTTTTTTTCCTAGTGCTTTACCTATGCAATCCTGTTCTTTCAAATGCCTGCTATACCTTCAAAGCAAAGTTTCATCTGTTTTCATTAGGTTATGAGCAAAAATAATACATACACATTGAACTATGACATTTTGGAATTTTTTAAAAAATTCAGTTTAAAGCTGAGATCAAGTCAAGAAAAATCAAGCATGGTTATTAATGTGATGCTTAATGATAGAAATTATGATTTCTATCATTTCTATCTATGTTCTCTGTCAATTAGCTATAAATGCTATTTCATTTGCACAGATGACAACTGTGACTGGGCAGGGCTAGAAGTATCACTGAGATCTCTCTGAAGACTGGCCAGATATTCCCATTTGACGTCTGGAGGGAAAAGTTGGGGGTGACGGAGGCAGAATTTCTGTGGGCTTCTGATATATTCTCTTGTTTTAGTAAGTGACAGAGTGAGAGCTCTACTTGCCCTCTCCCCCCAAGGCCTGTCCATATGCAATCGTTAGCTTAAAGCCAACATTTAGGATCCTTCAGTCCCTGTCAAGAAAGGGAGTGTCATCCAGCTCCAAGGGACTGGAGATGGACTTCCATTTTCTTGGGTCTTCCAGCCCCCCCCACCAACCCAGTCCTAGGACGTCCACATCCTTCCTACCCCTCTTCCAACTCTTGGCTCTGAAGTGCAGAGGAGTTCCAGCAACAGGTAAGCACAGGCTCTGCCTGGAGTTGGAACAGAGCATGTGAGCTGCCGTGGGTATGCCTGGGGCCTTTATTTGGCTTGGTGGGAGGAGAATAGCCTCCTCCCTCAGCTACTCTTCTGTAGGCTCATCTCATATTCTTATTTAATGCTTGTCACCTTTCATTAACTTCGGTGCAGGCCTGGCTATTTCTTTCAACTTTATGGGGCCAGGAGAGGCTTGGTGGGACTCCTACAGACGCAGACACGTGTCTTAGGGAGACCCGTCTGCGAGTAACAGCTTTCCCCGCCACAAGTCAGGGAGGCAGAGATAGCAATTTGAATTCTGGGCTTCCAATCAAATATTCAGAAAAGGACACTTCACCCTTTGAAAGTTGCAAAGGAAACAGAACTTCAGCTGGGAAGCACAGGCCCTTCTGATTATTTAAACTGAAGTTCTAGAGAGGAGCAGAACAGTTAGTGGCTCCAACAACTTCAGTGAGGGAATTTCGGGCAAATGCACAAAGAACAAATACAAAGTCCTATCAAAGTTGTCTTTGTAATATCAGATTCCTATTAGTATACTTACCCCCTGGAAAACGTCTCAGCCTTTTAGCAATTATTATTTGCAAGCTGTGTTACTCTACAGGCTTGATGGCTTTGATCAATTAGTAAGAATCTATACTCATGTCCTTATAAATGTTTGTCTTTCACATCATCAGCTCAGAGACGCTTAATGCAATACTAAGAAAACATGCTTCCCCATTGAAGAGACCACGTTTCGTCTTCCTTCCAAGTCCATGACAGCCTATATGGACATTTCTGGCTGTTTGTTAACTATATCGTAATCAGTGTCCCTGACAGCCCTGCTACTCAGAGTATGACCCCAGAGCTAGCAGCATCGGCATCACATGGGAGCGTGTTAGAAAATCAGACTCGCAGGCCCGTCCCCAGACCTGCGGGATCCGAATCTGCAGTCCCCGGTGATTCCCACTACAGTGTGAGCACGCTGCCCGCTAAGATCATGTGACTCTCACCAATCCATAATCCATCAAAAAAATAAAAAAGCAAAAACTTTTGCATAGAAAACTCAAGAACAAGTACAAACGGGTATATGTGGGCACAGTGACAGTACTAATAAATGCCAGCATGCGTACTGACTGCCAGACCCTGCTATAGGGTCATGATTCTTCACCACACACAAGAGGTAGGGACCATCCTGCCCCTTTTGTAGAGGATGTACAGAGACACAGAGACACCAGTAACTTCTGCAGGATCACACAGTAAATGAGGGGAAGATACGGGATTTGAACCCAGGCAGCCCAGCTTCAGGGGGCATGTTCTTAACTATTACACATTACCATCACATTAACCGTTACCCAGTAGTGTATGCCTATACTCAGGAAATAAAAGTTGGTCAGGACCTGAAAGAAAAAGCCAGATTGCTATCCAGTCCATCATTTTAGTAACATATGAAAGTGGAGGCCACATGGCACTCCCTCAGGTATTTTCCAAGGATGCTGGGGCTCAGAGAGGATATGTGAAAACCAGCGGTTTTTCTAAAGAAGTGGAGAATTGGAGGCCAGAACACGTCTCAGCCTCCACGGTACTCTCCTTCATGCTTCCTGACTCTTCCGTGCTGCGTCCAAATCCTCTCAGCGTTGGCTCTTCCAAAGACACTTCATACACAGCGGATGCTAAGTGGCAGCTTCTTCCTTTCTTAACTTTCACTCAAAATCTGTGACTATAAGCCTGCTTTGAGAAGTGATTTTGCATCCTATTGGAACCCTCCTCATTAAAAAAAAGTCAGGGTGGGGTGGAGGTTGTGCTTATAAATCACACTTAGAGGCCCTAATGTTAAACTGTAGCGATTTACATTCGAAGGGTAACAAGGACTTTCAGATGTTACAGCCAAAGAGCTCTTCCTTTGGTGAAAGTCAGTCCTGCCAGCTGCTGAGCGTCAGTCAACACAGAGTCTCAGTTTGGGCTCCAGCTTCATTCACCTGCTAAATCTTAGCTCCACTCATGCCTGTAGGGATGAAAGGTCACGAGTCCAGGCCCAGATTAACGTGGAGTTTGTGCCATTACATCTAAGACACCCATTCTTAACCAAACGGTGCTTTTGTCAACGTTGAGCACCCCCCCAAGGGTGGCGTGAGTTCCCGGAACAGACTCCAGAAGCCCAAGGAGGTTGAAAGCTCTTCCTGTTTAAAGTACAGCTTCTGCTATAAAAGGCACTAAACCACTCTCCTTTGGAAGCCTGCCCCATCTGGGGGAGGTGAGATAAAACGTACCATTCCCTTAAAATGCCACCCCTGTGACGCCAACCGTTTCTAGACACAGCCAGCAGTGTCCTTTCCATGACCTCCGTGCCACAGGCAGGGAAGGAGCTCCAGATCTGACCGGGAGGGACTGCTGTGTCCGTGTGAAGCATGTGGCCTGGACATGAATCACTTAATAGGTGAAGTGCCAGCGTGGGACATGGAGACTCCCACAGACCTCTCCAGCACGGTCGGGGCTGGCCAAGCCAGGCCCTCCCAGCTCCTGGTGCAGGGCCCCGCGTGGGATGGCGGAGGCAGCAGCCCACTCACTGGAAAACAGTGGAGTCAACAGGCACAGCTCGGACGCCCCCAGACTTCGCCTGGACACCCCGGTCCAGAGCACTTACCTTGCACTGCCCCGACACACAGATGGCCGTGCCGTTCTGGTCGCAGGGGGTGCCGTCGATGACCTTCTCAGCCTGCCGCACGTAGAAGCGGTAGCCCATCGCCTGGCAGTTCAGCTCACACTTGCGATTGCCCTTGACTGCAGACAGGAAGATCAAAAGACAAGATGAATCACAAGCAACAGCACCTCTGCAGAGCCAATCAGCACTTTTTTTTCTTCCTATATTTTTTATTGAGATAAAAATTCACATAACATAAAATTAACCATTTTAATCAAAGTATACAATTCAGTGGGTTTCAGTGTATTGGTAGGGCTATATGTGTAATCATTACCATTATATAACTCCAAAACATTTCTACCCCCTCAGAAAGAAACCCCATTCCTGGTGGCTATCATTCCAATTCCTCACTCTCCCCAGGCCTTGGCAACTACTAATCTACCTCCTGTCTCTTTGGATTTGCTTATTCTGCACATTTCATAATCATATACTTTTTAAAACTGCATGAATTTATTAAATCTCTTCTTATTTGCTGGTAGACAAGAAGGGGTTGTATCTGGATCTACTGGCATACGGTAGAGACTCAATGCTGAGTGACTGTCGTAAAGGCATTCCTAAAGAATCTCACCATACAAATAACACATTCTACTTTTAGACCTCCTCCCATGATTTGCCTTTGCCATAATTACATTTCACATATCAGCAATCACGGCAAGCACACAATTTTTATGTTCTGCTTTTTTTAAACTTAAAATCTACATAGTTATATCATCTTTATGGCCTTCTAAAATGGCTGCAATTTCCTGGAATAATTCCTCCATTATGAGATGTTTAGGTGGTTTCTCCATCACTTTGGGTTAAAGTCCAAAGTCCTAAGTAAGCAAAGGATAAAACATCGTCCAAGAGCTGAATCTCACCTACCTTTATGGTCTCATTTCCTATCATTCTTGCTTAAATCCACATTCTATACTCAAGTAAGGACTTCCTTTGTCTAACCATTCCTTAGCTGTTCCCCTGCCTTCCCTTCACTTGGCTAGCACCCACCTCACCTCGCCTGGAAGCCCTCCACGGATCCTGATCCTACCTATACGTCTACCTCATCACAGGTTGATCTGGCCTCCTCTAGAATAGTTTAACCATGCTCTGTTGCAGTATGGTTTTCAAAGAACAAAAGATGTGTCTGTCTCATTTAGCAAATGCTAAACAAATCCCTGAGAAATCAAAGAAAGGATGGAAAATGAGTATTGGCCTTTTGACTTCCTCTCCCTTTCCCCGACTAGGTATACCCCCTATCTCAGAGTCTCTATATATTTCTATCACTTCACACAGAGCCAGGCACAAGAGGTGCTAAATAAATGCTAAATTAATTACTCCTACAAGGAACATCTTCAGAGCAGTTTAGTTGCTTCCAAAATAAGAATGAGAAAAGTTTTCAGGCAAGATATATTTTCCATATCCAAAAGAGACAGACAAGCCAAGTACACAGTGCTTTTTTTTCCAACTGTTTTTGGAGACAAAACTAATTCTATGCTCAGCCATAGACAGTATGTTCCAGGGTCATGCCCTTGTCTAAAAATCAGATTACCGGATTGGGTAATACTGAATTTTTTCCTACACAACACAATACATCATATGTTCCCCAGTGTGGCTGCCTGACTGTCATAGCAATAAACTTCCTTCTATTCCAAAGCCACTGAAAACCACTAACAGGAAATAACATGGAGCCTCTGGGACCACACGGTTCAGGGAAGCTTGAGTCATCTATGAACTCTAAACTCTATCCTAGAAGTCGAGACACCAGGTTTCTTACCCTGGCTGCCCAAAACATGTAACAGGTGGTCTTAGAAAAAATAAAAGAATACCAAGATGGAAGCACCTTTGGTAATTATCCCCAACTGAATCATCATTTTATAGATTTAAAAACCCAACAGGCCTAAGAAAAAGGGTGACAAATTAGAGACAAAGCTCATCTCCTACAACTTGCTTTCTCATTTCATACATCAAGACCCTGCTCCCTCTCTCCCCGGCTCCTCACTCTCTATAGTCATGGACCTATCCAGGTGCTTCGCATTTTAAGGCATAAGCATGTCTGTGAAAGGCAGCCTCGCAGGGGCAAGGGATTTGGGTTCTCACCTCTCTTGGCTTCCTCCCAACTACCTCAGTCCTTTAGGATACTACCTTTTGCAGCTGCAGTTTTATTTTTCAGTATTTGCAACCAGACTGCAGAATTATATTCTGAGAAAACAACAATAACAACAATAAAAACAAACAAAAGAATGCTAAACATGAAACAATTAACGGCAGAATCTCAAAATGGCTACCTGAAAATAACCCAGAAGAATGGCCTTCAGTCTGGGCCCCTTCCCTCAGTAGCCCAAACCAGACACTGGTCTGACTAACCCTCTGCCCATGTGGCTTAGATAGGGTTCCTGCCTTCTCAGATCCTCAACAAGGAGATAATGGAAACCTGAGGGCAAGCGACTCCCTAACAGAACTGCCTAGAATCCTATTGCCTTGGGAAATGCTCACTCTACCACTTCCTATAAAATCACATAAGGACTTCTCTAGACTCTGCATACAGTCCCTAATCCCTTTTAAATTTCCACATAAAAATACATTTGAATGCTTCAGTTAAGGTTTTGCATGTATAGCCACTTCATTCCTTATGACTTTTTTAAAATAAAATTACAATTCTGATGCCAAGAGACTCTTCCATAAGCAGATTTTGTTATGGTTTTATCAGTGCACACACAGGCTGGAAACATGAGGGCACCCACAAGCACTGAGATAAGAGCAAATAGGTACACACTTCACTGTTGTTCTCCCTCTTATTTCTCTCCCTCTTTTTCTCATCTGCTTCCTAAATAGCACCCCTGCCCCCAAAGGGAACACTTCACCATCCATCCACACACTAAAGTGATGGTTCTCAGTGTGGTCCTGGGATGAACAGCACCAGGCATCACCTGGGAACTTGCTGAAAATGCAAATTCTCAAGACTCAGCCCAGACTTCCTGGATCAGAAACTCTAAGGATGAGGCCCAGGACACAGTGAAGTTTGGGAACCACTGCTTTAAGGAAAATTGAAAAGTGAGCAGGCTTGGAAGCAACTGACTATTATTATTTTGAATCAAAGATGTTCAAATCCTATGCCTAAATTTAAAAAGATAATATAACCCCAAATATAAGAACTCTCTTTAATTAAACATAGGGTATCACCAGGTTATTTGGAGCCCTGATATTTAAAAAAACAAAACAAAACAAAACAAAACAACCAGAAAAACCTCTGATCATGAAGAAAATGCTAGGGAATACAGGTTACTTAGAATAAAGCAACTAAGAGCTAAAAGGTTTACCCTGGAATACGAGTTAAAGCAGGCGTCCTCAAACTACGGCCCTTGGGCCACATGCAGCCCGTTGAGGACATTTATCCGGCCCGCCGGGTGTTTTTGCTGCCGCTGCCTGTCCTGCTTAGCAGCCGAATGGTCCTGGGCCCACAGTGCACATGTGTGGAATGTGCACCACACTCTCCAACGGCCTCCAACGGTCCGAGGGACAGTGAACTGGCCCCCTGTTTAAAAAGTTTGAGGACCCCTGAGTTAAAGGTTTCAATCTCTCATTGAACTCTTTCCCTTGGAAAATCCTTGATATAATAGTAAAGACAGTTTTGTTTTGTTTTTGTTTTTTTTTTAAGTAATAAACTCAAAAGAACAAAGAAAACAGAAATGGAGTTAATGGTTACAAACTTTTGGAAACTAGAAAGCAGAAGAATCCATGGTAATGACTTAGCAGACCCAAGAAGACTAATAGTGAGCAGCAATAAAAGCAATGACGCTGTCTAGCACTGCAGAATCTCCAAAGGTAGCTCTGGAAATAGGAGAGAAAGCAGGCCTAAAATCAGAAAAACTGTGTGCAAGTGTGTAAAAGAAGTAGTTGGGGATTCCACTTTCCAGAATGGCTGTTTGATCCCTTTGAAAATCAACTCCTCCATAAAAGCAACGAAAACACTGGCAAAAGAAAGCTGAAGTGGCTATACTAAAATTTCAGACAAAATAGACTTGAAGACAAAAATTGTTACTGGAGACAAGTAAGAACATTTTACAATGATAAAAGGATCAATCCATCAGGATGACACAACAACTAAGCCCTAAAATACATAAAGTAAAAACTTTCGAACTTTGATACCCCACTTTCAATAATGCATAGAACAGTAAGACAGAAGATCAGTAAGGAAAGGAATCCTTGAACAACACCATGAACTAATTAGATTTAGATATCTGTAGAACACACCACCCAACAATAGCATAACACACATTCTTCTCAAGTGCACATGAAACATTCTCTAGGAAGGAACAAATGTTAGGCCATAAATTAAACCTCAGAAAGTATTAAAATAATAACAAGTATTTTCTCTGGCCATAATATAAGGAAATTAGAAATCAACAGCAGAAAGAAATATAGGAATTATACAAATATGTGGAAATTAACATACTCCTAAATAACTGATCAAGAAAAAATAAGGAAAATTAGAACATACTTCGAGATTAATAAAAATAAAAACACAACCAAAACTTATAGGCTGCAGCTATAACAGTGCTTGGAAGGAAAATTTATAGCTGTAAATACCTATCCTAAAAAAGAAGATCTCAAATTAATAACCTAATCCCCCACCCTAAGAACTGGAAAAAGAGGAAACAGAACCCAAAGCCAATAAAAGGAAGGAAACTAGAGTAGAAATAAATTAAATAAAAAATGAGAAACAATAGAGAAAATCAATGAAACCAAAAGTTGGTTATTTGAAAAGATCAACAAAATTGACAAACCCTTAGATAGACTGACCAAGAATAAAAGTGAGAGTGCTTAAAATATTACAATCAGGAATGAAGAGGGAACATTACTAATGATATTACAGAAAAAAAAAAGGACTGCTACCCAGGGCCATTAGGCAAGAAAAAGAAAAGGTATACAGATTAAAAAGGAAGAAAGACTATTAATATCTTTATTTACAGATGACATGATCTTGTATATGGAAAACTTAAAAAATCATACCAAAAAACTATTTGAATGAATAAACAAGTTCATCATTGCAGGATATAATATCAATTTGCAAAAATTAACTGTATTTCTACACATTATCAATGAG